ATTTACTGGCAGACGTCTAAATCTCTTTTTCATGGCGAGATATTAAATAGATACCATTTTATACGTGAATCAAGTGAATCAAATGGCATCGAACGAAAGTATTAACGTGTTAAAGGGATACTACCTCTTAGAATGGACATAAAATTTAAAATCTCAAACTTGGTCAATAAGAGTATATATTCATCAGTTGGACTTACCAGGTGTTTTGACACCAGGTAAGACCAACTGATGAATACAGACTCATTTTAACCAAGTTTAAAAATTTCAATTTTTTGGACACCCTAAGAGGTAGTCTACCTTTAATGAATTATTACTTAGTTTAATGAATTATTACTTAGTTTAATGAATTATTACTTAGTTTAATGAATTATTACTTAGTGTAATGAATTATTACTTAGTTTAATGAATTATTACTTAGTTTAATGAATTATTACTTAGTTTAATGAATTATTACTTAATTTAATGAATTATTACTTAGTTTAATGAATTATTACTTAGTTTTATAGATTATAGAGGGATTCTGTTGTATAGTTATAACAACCAGTAAGTCCACTGATGAACAAAGACTCATTTTAACCAAGTTTCAAAATTTCAATTCTTTGGTCATCCTAAGAGGTAGCGTACATTTAAAATCTAGGTAGGTTTAATGATTTAGAATTATTCATGAAATTGACAGTTCTATTGTGCAACAACTATTATGATATCGTCCGTCCCAGACAAACCAAACAAAATTCCTGAAAAGAATTTGACATTTTGAATACAAAACTACAAAACATTGGGAAAATTCTCTCACATCTGTGATTAGATTAAGAGTTTACGTTCTGGCAGAATGAGACGAGAATTCCCAAAAGAATAGCACCATTTTATCATATTTATAGTCTGAAACATCTGTCTCTATTCCAGTCTGATAGATATTTTGAAAGTTGTCAGACTGAAATATCTGTCTCTATTCCAGCCTCTGATAGATATTTTGTCAGTTGCCAGACTGAAACATCTGTCTCTATTCCAGTCTCTGATAGATATTTTGACAGTTGTCAGACTGAAACATCTGACTCTATTCCAGTCTCTGATAGATATTTTGACAGTTGTCAGACTGAAACATCGA